TTACTTTCACTGTAAGGATTTGACTTGTCGTAGCTGCCTCTCTCCGCGACTGCTTATTTGTCCTTATTTGAAGGTTGCACTGTGCACAACCCTTGGACGCGCCAGTTGCTCTGCAGTTAGGCACACTGTACATAACAGGTGCTATACATATACTGCTTATAGCATTTATATTCTTCACTGTATTTTATATTCATGCATTTCCAAAGTGATTTCATTCAAAGCGTGCCTCTTCCATCTTAACGTGTTAGATGCTGCCCTGCTTTTCGGAATAATGCTAGAAAATGAAGCTCACTACTACTTTTGACTACTTAAGTGTTGAGAAATATGGGTAACCAAATTTGCATGCATAACGCTGGCTTAACATAGCTGAACGGAGACCCCATTTCTCATCGGTTACATAACGGTAGTTCGTTTCATCTGTGTAAATTAACTGCTAGTCAGATTAAAGTTACGGTGTAACTGATCATTAACAAGCAGCTGTCGATCTTTATTATCAGCCTTCAAGATTTTGGAAGTATATTGCCTTTCAAAATTCGACAAGTCATTTATGCCGGAATGACACCGCACATAAAATTTATTATATGCAAATTCACCTAAGTTTCGGATCATGCCCGATCCATCTTCAGGAATAAACCTCTTTTCAGGTTACAGAGTTGTTCTTTCTTCTTCCTTTCTATTGTGCTGTCGATTTCTCCTATGTAATTGAGACTACACTAACAAGGTACGTTTTAGCTCCGCCCTCGTTTGGGTTTCAGTCGGTGCATTCGTCAGAATGAACAGACACATAAAGAGATACGGGGAGGAGACACGATCTTTCGCACGTGGGCATGAAGAAATTTGAAAAACATTTGGTTGTTATGGAACATGCGGTGCAAGAACGACACCGCATATGATAAGACACAGTGGAAAGAATATTTTCAGAAAAATTTTCTAAGTTGAAAGGTAGAGGAAGCTTTGTTGATTCCATCCAACTAATGAATAAACATGAATAAACATGTTGATTTGGAACTATGTTTGCCTTGAAACGAAATTATGAAGCAGCTTCACTTTCGATGTGAAAACTTCTATTTGTATCTGACTGCACCGGCGTATACTGTAACATTACGTTATATGTTATATCTCCTTGAAGACGAGCATTGGTTGAACCATTTGAGAATTTATATAAGTTTTATTTGCGGTTTTATCCCATGATGTACTTGCTGAATTCGAACTAAATTACGAAATGTGGAACAACCTATATTTATGTTTCTATTGTCTTTTGTGAATTTTGAGGATCGCCATTCTTTTTTGCTCTCGATTTTGTCGTATTTCAGGAATCTACCATTCGAAACCACCGATGAAGAATTCGGCGAATATTTTTCCCGTTTTGGTCCCTTGAAATATGCAGTCACATGCAAGTACCCAAATACGGACCATTCCAAAGGTTGTGCAAAAAATGTCTGAGTCAGGCTTTTTGAAGAATAATGGTGTCTCTTTTAAGGAACTGGTTTCGTGCAATTCCTCAATAAAGACTCAGTCGAAAAGTGCTTACAAGCCGCCAATACCTCTGAAGTATGCCTCGCTAATTTCTTGTTTCAGCTTCAAACATGTTACAAGCTTTCATTATCAGGGCACCGGCATTTACATCAAGAGCCAGTTGATTTCCGTTTGCCATGCAGTCAGCAGGGACCAAGCGACGAAGATTGTAAGGGAAAGGGGCGATGAAAAGCATAAACCGAAAGACAAACGAAATTTGCACCTGTTTAAAGCTGGACGTAAGGCATTAACTTAAGATACAACGTTTTTTTTTAAAAACTTTTACACCAAGTTTACTCAGTCAGTCAGTTTCAATTATCTGTTATCCTTTAACATCACGGACGCGGGTGCGTCCCACAACTTCTTCAGCGTCCATATTCCTGTGCAAGCGTTTGAGCTTCAGCAAGAAGCAACCTGAGTCTGAAGAAGAAGTCTCGACACACTTGGCACCGGTCAATCTTGACCGTCCCAGGGGTCTTCGGCTGGTCGATTTGGCAAGTAGTATCGGGGTCGTCCTTTCTAGAAGCATTCGCAACACGTGCCAAAACCATGACAGCTGCGAGTCACAGTTTGAGGAAGTAGTGGCTGAACAACAGGGTTCTCTTGAATGTCTGTCCCACAGACCATGCCGAACCGCGTGAGCCCATCGATTCGTCAAAGAAAACCAATTTCCATCGCATATAACCGGGATGGAGTTTTTCCTAATGGCCTACGACTCACGATCATATATGAGCACCCAGATAAAGACTAACATTAAAATATAGAGTTTGATCATCAGATTCAGCTTTGTTTTAGTTACAGTGGTTCAGGATAGTTCACACA